TATCCATTTAGTGTAGCTAAAAAGTGTCATGTACTTTGAAATATTGTTTTTTACATAGAGACCTCGTTGTCTAACCAATTTAGGTGGGTCGACGATCATACAATATATTTTACTTACCATCTAATCTCAATAAGGGCCATCGACCCCTTGTACAAGAATACGGAAAACTAAATCAATTTATTAATAAAAATATAATTGAAAGTTTTTATCTGCATTCAGAACGATGTACAATAACTATTATGTCGTTTTCCTCCTTGTAAAGATTGCAAATCAAGCCAGTCTCTATAACAAGGAAGGAGATTTCACACATCTAATTATCTTGAAGTCAGGTGTATTTCTTATGTATTTTTTTTAACTACTTAAGTCAATGTTTTTCAATTCGATCATTCAATATTGCAAGATAATAAAAATTTTAAGCAATATTTACTTTTGTCATGCACAAATGTATAATTAGACTAGGATTTCACACTAAAATAAAATTAGCTTACTGAAAATTTTATTTGTTTGACTATTACGCGAATATATTGCTTTTTTTGTATCTTGTTTGTTCTACTAAGTTTGAACCGCGCTAAATAACCCTTACCTCGCCTTTCATGCGATGTTCTCTTCCCTTCCCTTCCGTCACTTACCTGTTAGGCTCCCAACAACTACCTTGTGGTATTGCTTAATTGTTAATTTTATTTATAGTCGTATAACGCGTTGCTATGCAGAATCAAAAACTACACATGAAGTAGTAGACGAAGGTTCGTCCGAAGCGCCTTCCTCAAATAACAGTGAGCTGAAGGATTTAGCTCACAATTATGCTATCCTACAAAAAAACTTTACAGAACTAGAAGATAAGTACAAAAGAGCTTTAGCTGAGACAGAAAATACTAGGAAGCGTCTTACTCGCCAAACAGATGAAGCAAGAATTTTTGGAATTCAGTCGTTTTGCAAAAATTTGCTAGAAGTTTCTGATATCCTCTCTAAGGCAGTTGATGCCGCACCAAAAGAAGAACTTGACGCTACAAAAAACCCTTCATTCTATAATCTTTATCAGGGTCTTTCCCTGACCCGTGATCAGATGAATAAGGTAGAACGGATCACGCTTTTCATCAAAACGAAATATTCTGCTTCATCCTTTTCATCTTATACATAATCTAAGCTCAATATTTTTTTGTGTTTTTAATCCTGAATTTGCCACATTTTATATGTTAAGTATAATTAAGTTATGGTGTCCTGCGAATGTGTGCCTCTGACAGTCGGCGACTCGCTATCGGCTATTAAGACGATCTAATTGGTATAGCCTCCTTTACGAGTGCATTTATCTCTTTTTTCAAATTTTATGTGTATGTTTTGCGATTTTTATAGATACTTTTAATGTCAGAATTTAGTCATATTCGAATCATTGTTTTCATTCTTGTCCTAAGCTGAGCTGGATTTTAGTTTAGAATTTTAATCTCTATACCGTATTTCAAAGTGCTATCTCATTCTATGCAAAAATGAGATTTATCTATATTTTAACAAACTATCACTTTTCCATTGTCATTTTTCTGCATTGATTAACAATTTACCTTTATTGTTTCCAGGTTTTTGAACGACATGGAGTCACTCCTATTCACCCTATTGAAGGTGATAAATTCGACCCAAATGTTCATGAAGCCTTATTTAAAACCCCATTAAAGAAAGGATCAGCCGTTAACACGATTTCAACATTGACCAAGGTTGGCTATGCGCTTCACGGCAGGGTGCTTAGGCCTGCTATAGTTGGTGTGTTTGCGCCTTAAATTGAATTCCTCTTCAACTTTTTTTATTGCCTATTTGTTC